TTTTTTTTTTTTTTTTTTTTTTTTTTTTTGGCGCATATGCCAAACATCAGTGAAATTATACCAGAACACTTGGCTGCAAATTTTGTATAAAATATCACAAAAGAAAAGAAAAAATTACCAAGAAAAAGATCGTTAGTATTTATTTTTGTGGTTTATTTCATTTTTTTTCCTTTTTTTTGACTGATCTTTCAAATCATTGTAAACTGTGTAAATTGAAACTGCCAAAACCGATAACGTTTTTTTTTCTAAAGACTGATCAAACACTATGTAATAGAAAACTAACAAATTACCACTTTTTTCTTCATTACCAAACCTTACATCCTTTTTTTTTATTCCTCTTTTTTTTTCTTCTCAGTATTTCTGAACAGTTTTGAATGACTAAAACTAAACCATATCTGCTGACAGTATAGTTGACAAGCAAAATCACAACGATTTGCAAATAAAATTTTCAACCAAACTTATTAAAATAGTGCTAATAATTTACAGTTACAAGATCAACAACAAAAATAAGCCTGAGCATTTACAATTTGAATAGAAAAACAATTAAGGTTCAAAATCTTCTTTGATTATGAACTGAGATCAATGTTATTGGAATATTACATATGTATACTGAAATTCAGTGTCACACAACAGAGCAATAATGGCAGTAATAACAAACAAACAAACAAACAAACAAACAACAACAAACCATCTCAGCAATTCTGTCAAAGCTCTGAAACGATAAACGAAAGGTGGAGTAATTGCTTCTGCTAAACTGTTTAACATTACCCTGGATAATATCATCTATATATCTAATGCCTACAGTAAAGAAATTGCTAAATAAAAAAAAAGTCAACAAAAAAATGACTGTAAATTGTGATAACCAATGCTCTGTATATTAAATATTATCGTTTAAATGTTGAAAAAATATATCCATCTTGTTGTGAATAATTTTGATAGATACAATCTACACCATCATTATCAGTTTCATAATTTTTTGGTGGAAAATTTGTCTGTAACTTTAGTGAACAGTCATACTTGGAATCAAGTAACAAATTTTTTGGCGGTGTTAAAATGTTAACACGGGGAATTGTTCGCGTCGGCGTTTCCTCATCAAATGTTGCACGTGTTGGCGTTCTCAAAGATTCTGATGCATGATGTGGAAACGACGAATATTGCTTGAAACGTAAAGAATCATTTTGTGCATAGGTTGACGGTGGAATTATATCCGGCATCCAGGAGGTAAAATCGTCACTTTTTACAGGTTCTGAGTCAGCTGTAAGCATAGCAGAATTAGGTACACAATCAGTAATCTGCATTCTTTGATGACTTAGCATCAAAAGATTGTTGACAGTAAGATTTTTGACTATGCTAATTATAATGTACATACTTGTATCTTTTTCTGGCAAAAGAGGTGAGCGACATTGCGGACCATCGGTACCGCCGCAACTTTTTGGAGTTTCACGAAACCAATTTGGATTTGGCGTTGAACCACTCTTCTGAAAAAAAAAAGCTATATTTCCAAGGAAAAAACAACTAAACTATTTCGTCCACAATGTTTTATGATATGCCAAAAAACTGCTTCTAGTGATAAACAGCACCTTGTAGCCCAAATAGACATTCCAAACAAACATTGAAACTGTTGCAAATACCAGAAGCATATTTGAGAGCACCTCGTAAAATATATGTTTGGAAATCTCAAATACCACCAACAGTGTAAATATTTCATATATCAAGCAAATAAGTGTCTGAAATAAACAATAATCCATCAGGTATTGATCATTAAAAAAGGAATTATTGCGGATAAAAAATTCTTACAAAAAAATGAAAGAAAAAAGCATGAAATTAAATCTAAAGCAAACTGCACTTACCAACAAGAAATGCAGCATTAAGTTTTTGCAGAGTGAAAATTTCGTAGCCACAACAGTAAATTCTTTGCTGAATGATACAATCAACAACGTTGCCGAACAGTAGAAAGTTAACTAAATTTGTGAAAACAAAATTATTGCTACGGTATTTAAGTTATGGTAATAATCGTAATAAAATGTCAACAAAAAATTAAAATAACAACAATATCAATTATAATAACAATTACGGAGAATATAAACATAATATATACAGAAAAATAATGAAAGCAACTTGCCAATGTTAAAAAAACTGGAGGCGCTATTAGTACCCAAAAAAGTCGGTCACCAAAGCTAACAAAGTTCCCTGGTGCCACAAAAAACGTAATCAAAGCAATAATCATTGGGGCTACAAATCCAATAACCAACGACACATTGATACTAAAAAAGGGGTAAAGTTAAGCACCCATCAAAATAGACAGAACTGCTGGAAAAAATACCGTATTATCGCACTGAGAAAAGTGCAAAAACCAAAATTTATAATAATTCATTATTTAAATTTTTAACTTAGTCTCCTTGACTATTTGTTAATGTTTGAAATAATACTCACTTCAGATTCCAGACTTCCTCTGTGAACAAGAAGTATATATGTAGAGAGTACAAGAAGAGCCACGCGAACAGCGCTGATATACAAAAACTAATTACAGCATTTCTTACCGCATAAAACAACTATAATTGTGCGTATTCAACAGTTATTTATTTCATAAATCGAGAAGAACAAATCTTTTAGACAATAGCTAAAAAAAGTACAAAGCAAGACTAAAATTTTTATAATAAG